GTTGAGGCTGCAGTGAGTTATGATCGTGCCACTGCACCACTGCACTCCAGCCTGAGTGACAGACTGAGACTTTGTCTCTGGGGGAAAAAAAAAAAAAAAAAGGGCCGGGCAAGTTGGCTCACACCTGTAATCCCAGCACTTTGCGAGGCCCAGGGGGGGCAGATCATCTGAGGTTGGGAGTTCGAGACCAGCCTGACCAACATGAAGAAATCCCATCTCTACTAAAAATACAAAATTAGCCGGGCGTGGTGGCACATGCCTGTAATCCCAGCTACTCAAGAGGCTGAAACAGGAGAATCACTTGAACTCGGGAGGAGGAGGTTGTGATGAGCTGAGATCACACCATCGCACTCCAGCCTGGGCAACAAGAGCAAAACTCCATCTCAAAAAAAAAAAAAAAAAAAAAAAAATCAGGATATCTGATAAGGGAATTGCAGTGAGAATATATTAAAAACTAAAAACTTACAACTCAATAGTGAAAGGACACCTAACACAATTTAAAAATGGGTGAAGGATTAGAATAGACAGTTCTCCAAAGATCTAGAAATGGCCAATAAGCATGTTAAAAGACACCAGTTCACACCCAGTAGAATGACTATAATCAAAAAGACAGATAATAATAAGTGCTGATGTGGATATGGAGAAACTGGAACCCTTATATATTGGTGGTAGACGTGTAAAATGGTATAGCCATTTTGGAAAAGTCACAGTTTCTCAAAAGGCTAAATAGTCACCTTTTGACCCAGCAATTCCACTGGTAATAGAAATAAAAACATACATCCACACAGGCCGGGCGTGGTGGCTCACGCCTGTAATCCCAGCACTTTGCGAGGTCAAAGCGGGTGGATCATGAGGTCAAGAGATCAAGACCATACTGGATGGTGAAATCCCACCTCTACTAAAAATACAAAAATTAGCCGGGCGTGGTGGTGCGCACCTGTAGTCCCAGCTAGTTGGGAGGCTGAGGCAGGAGAGTCGCTTAAACCTGGGAGGCGGAGATTGCAGCGAGCCAAGATCCCGCCACTGGCCGGGCGCGGTGGCTCACGCCTGTAATCCCAGCACTTTGGGAGGCCGAGGCGGGCGGATCACGAGGTTAGGAGATCGAGACCATCCTGGCTAACATGGTGAAACCCCGTCTCTACTAAAAATACAAAAAACTAGCTGGGCGTGTGGTGGGCGCCTGTAATCCCAGCTGCTCGGGAGGCTGAGGCGGGAGAATGGCGTGAACCCGGGAGGCGGAGCTTGCAGTGAGCCTAGATTGTGCCACTGCACTCCAGCCTGGGAGACAGAGTGAGACTCCATCTCAAAAAAAAAAAAAAAAAGATCCCGCCACTGCACTCCAGCCTGAGTGACAGAGCAACACTCAGTCTCAAAAAAGCAAACAAACAAACAAACAAACATACATCCACACAAAAACTTATATACAAATGTTGCTAGCAGTATTATTTATAAAAGCTAAAAAGTGGAGGGCCGGGCGTAGTGGCTCATGCCTGTAATCCCAGCACTTTGGAAGGCCGAGGCAGGTGGATCACCTGAGGTCAGACGTTCAAGACCAGGCTGGTCAACATGATAAACCCCGTCTCTACTAAATATACAAAAATTAACCAGGCGTGCTGGTGGGCGCCTGTAATCCCAGCTACTTGGGAAGCTGAGGCAGGACAGTCACTTGAACTGGGGAGACGGAGGTTGCAGTGAGCCAAGATCGCACCATTGCGCTCCAGCCTGGGCTACAAGAGCAAAATTTCGTTTTAAAAAAAGTGGAAACAACACAAATACTCATCAACCGAACAACAGATAAGAAAATAAGTATATCGGCCGGGCGCAGTGGCTCATGCCTGTAATCCCAGCACTTTGGGAAGGCCAGGCAGGTAGATCGCAACTTCAGGAGATCGAGACCATCTTGGCTAACACAGTGAAACCCCCGTCTCTACTAAAAATACAAAACATTAGCCGGGCATGGCGGCGGGCGCCTGTAGTCCCAGCTACTCAGGAGGCTGAGGCAGGAGAATGGTGTGAACTCGGGAGGCGGAGCTTGCAGTGAGCTGAGATCTTGCCACTGCACTCCAGCCTGGGGGACAGAGCGCAAGATTCCGTCTCAAAAAAAAAAAAAAAAAACACACATGCTAAGTGAAAGAAGGCAGGCAGTCACAATAATATTTTATGGTTTCATTTGTGTGAAATACCCCGATTAGGCAAATCCATAGATATAGCAGATTAGTGGCTGCCAAAGGCTGGGGGTGGGAAGGACTGGGAGAAAACAGGGAATGACTGCTAATGAGTACCATGGTTTCTTTTTGGGAGATGAAATGTTCTTATAGTGTTGATAGTTGCACAACTCTGTCAACGTACTAAACACCACTGAATTGTATACTTTCAATGGGTGAATTATATGTTAGGTAAATTATATCCCACTAATGCTTTTTTTTTTTTTTTTGAGAGGGAGTTATGCTCTTTTGCCCAGGCTGGAGTGAAGTGGCATGATCTCGGCTCACTGCAACCTCTGTCCCCTGGGTTCAAGTGATTCTCCTGCCTCAGCCTCCTGAATAGCTGGGATTATATGCACCAGTCACCACAACCGGCCAATGTTTGTATTTTTAGTAGAGATGGGGTTTCACCATGTTGGCCAGGCTGGTCTCAAACTCCTGACCTCAGGTGATCCACCTGCCTCCACCTCCCAAAGTGCCAGGATTACAGGCATGAGCCACTGCGCCTGGCCAATGCTGATTTTTAAAACAGGTAGCTGGCAGGATTTGGGTTTGGTCTGTAGAATGTAATTAGCTGATCCCTGGCATGAAGAAACAAGTAAAATGAGGCCAGGCTCAATGGCTCCCACTTGCAATCTTAGCATAGCACTTTGGGAGGCCAAGGCAGGAGGATTGCTTAAGCCCAGGAGTTTGAGACCAGCCTGGGCAACACAGCGAGATCTTGTATTTTTTTTTTTTTTGATACGGAGTCTCGCCCTGTCGCCCAGGCTGGAGTGCAGTGGCACGATCTCCGCTCACTGCAACCTCCGCCTCCCGGGTTCACGCCATTCTCCTGCTTCAGTCTCCCAAGTAGCTGGGACTACAGGAGCCCGCCATCACGCCCGGCTAATTTTTTTTTTTTTTTTTTTTTTGAGACGGAGTCTCGCTCTGTCACCCAGGCTGGAGTGCAGTGGCCGGATCTCAGCTCACTGCAAGCTCCGCCTCCCGGGTTCACGCCATTCTCCTGCCTCAGCCTCCTGAGTAGCTGGGACTACAGGCGCCTGCCACCTCGCCCGGCTAAGTTTTTGTATTTTTAGTAGAGACGGGGTTTCACTGTGTTACCCAGGATGGTCTCGATCTCCTGACCTCGTGATCCGCCCGTCTCGGCCTCCCAAAGTGCTGGGATTACAGGCTTGAGCCACCGCGCCCGGCCACGCCTGGCTAATTTTTTGTATTTTTAGTAGAGACAGGGTTTCACCATGTTAGCAAGGATGGTCTCGATCTCCTGACCTCGTGATCCACCTGCCTGGGCCCCCCAAAGTACTCGGATTACAGACATGAGCCACCACGCCCAGCCGGAACAGTTCTAAATTAAGAGAGATGTAAAACACAATAGCAAAAAACACTATATCCTGATTGCAACAAACCCACAGTTACACTGGACTTGACTCTGCACCACGTAATGGATAGTAGTCTAGAATTACAGTTGTTCTTGTAAAGTGTGATAATGGTATTGTGGTCATATTAGCAATGTTTCTGGTTTTCACACGCGCACCCTGTTAAATAAAATTTATAGAAGGTCATTGGTTAGGACTGAGCTCCTGCACTAGGTTCAACGAACCAAACCAAAATGGAGTCACTCATGCTAAAGTTCCATGCTTCCAAGCCAAAACTAAGTTGATACCCGATCTTCTGAGACATCGGGAGAGAGATAATAGCCAAATCCCCAAACAGCCCAGTTTTAGCCCACCTGATAAAGGAAGTCCCCTCTACTTTAACCTTTAACTTAGAAATTTAATCAAGTTAATCAATTTAACCAACTAGCTTTTTGTTTTCAGTTTCTGACTTTCTCAGCCCTTTGTCTCTGAAAACAACCTCCTCCTCTGCTCAGCTCATCGGAACACTCATGCTATTTTCCATAATTAGATGTTGTTCGATTGTAGATCCACAAATAAATGCCAATTAAGATCTTCTCACTACATGTGTTGTAATTTTGTCTTTTGACAATCCTTAAGTGTCGAGATGCCGAGGATTTGTTTTAATCTCTTTATGGTTAAAAAAAAAAACACAGCAAGTATGGCAAAAATAATAATTGGTAGATTTGGGTGACAGAAATTCCTGTATTCTTCTCTCAGTTTTATGTAAGTTTGAACATTTTCATAAGAAAACATTAACATCAAACTGTCTCAAGGACCCTTCAAGCCCCAAGTTCACAGAATTAGCAGCACAATCAGAATGCGAATCCACGACTGCCTGACCCCGAAGCTCCACACAGGAAAAGGTGAATCCCTGCACCAACCCCGAGAGGGAAGGGGCTATCAAAAACGTGAAGAGAAGGTGGCGATGGACGACTGCACAATCTGGTATCGCCCGCCGTCCCACCACAGTCTGAGAAACTGAGGCCAGGAAAGGAGTTATCTTTCCTCAACTCCCACTGCTTAGACCGCCAGCAATCCCAGTCCACTCCTTCCCTTGGGACCACCAGCAAATCGCCATCATCTACAGCGGAACTGTAACTCTCAGGAGAACTGGCCGATGCTGGCTACCACTTCGCTGAGTTTATTGTGAGAGAGAGTGAGAGTGAGTGAGTGAGAGTGAGAGACACAGAAGGAGAGAGAACTGCCCGATGGACGGTTGGCCACCTCCAGGAGAGTGTAGTTCAGCTTCAAACTTGGGGCGCCCGGACAGCTCTATTAATAATGATTGACAGGGAATCGGGAATCCAAAATCTTGCCCCAGTCTCCCTCAGGACCCCAGATCTCTAGCCCGCAGGAAAGCGATCCCAGCAACACCCTTCCTGCACCGCCTCGAACTTACCTCCCGAACGACTCCCGGTCCCTCGGTCGCTTCTTCAACTGTGCCCCGACACCGGAAAGGAGCACTATTTTCCCCCTCCGCTCCGCCCACTTCCGCCCAGTAGAAGTCATCGGAAGTAGAGCTGCCCCTAGTTGCGGAAGTGCCTCGCCTGGCTTGCTCAAGTCCTCTCTTCTCTTTCTCCCTTCGGAAACGTGAGTGGCAAATAGAAGGTTCCGGATATTGAACCTGGTGGGAATATGGAGAACGCTTACTATGTACTAGGCATTTCCCAGGGAGATCGTTTTTTCCTGCTTGATTCCCAGGCTTTGAGTCCCTCCAAGCCCAAATTTAAGGACTAATCACTTCCCCTAGAGATCGGGAAGCCCACTTCCCCAAATATATCATCCACTCTTCTTGCTGCATCTTAAAACTCAATTGAGAAGGGACAACTGCGCTCCCATTTTACAGACAGAGCCATTGGGAAATTGAAAGTCAAAGCCGTTCAAGTCGCCCTCAGGAAACAGGGATTTACTGCGGCACTGCCCAGCTGTCCCAGGGACTAAGGCATATCGTCCCCGCTAGTTTCTAGGTATCTAGGGACCCAGACATTAATTTTTCTAGCTCGGCCAGGCGAACTTCCAGGGTACAGCCAGAGCGGGTAGGGGGCGAGAGGGAGGAGGAGGGTCGAATCCAATCCCCCAAGTGCCCCATGGTATTCGACACCTTGGCTTCCCCATGGATCTCCGGACTTTAAGTCCTTTATCCCAAGGTCCCTTTAAATACTTTGTCCCTTACCTGAGTCCCGCCCAGGGCAGGTAATGGCAAGTTCCGCCCCCCTGCCAGAAACCGGGATCAGGCTTGGTTACCGGGAGTGGGGCACCCTCCTCCTTATCCCCTCCCCTCTTCCCTGTCCCTCTTCACAGCTGGCTAAGGAGGTCTCCATTAAAGAGGAAGGGGCAGTGCTCACATTTCTGGGCAGGTAAGTGAATGTCCCTGGAGGAAGAGCCTGGCTTGGGGACCCAGGCATCCTGGCTCCCCGCCCCTCCGAGACCCAGAAGTTTGGGGCTCCTAGGCCCAGGAGTCCAAGGCCCCTGCCCCCTAGGTCCCTAGACCCGATAATACAACTAATCCTCTGCCTCTGCCTCTCTCGTAATCTTTGTTGTCTGTGGGTGGATGTGACAATGAGCACAGAGAGAGGCACAAGTGGAAATTACCAGGAAGGGAAGACTCCAGATCACCAGTGGACATGTTTATGAGCATCTGTGTCAGGTGCTGTAGACACAATGGGGAAAAAAGATAAGCTGCCTGCTCTCTGCTCTCTTCTCTGGCGGACACTGCCTTCACTGAAATCCTGGCTCTCACACTTGCACACTGTGTGACCTTTGGCAAGCTATTTTACCTCTCTGTGCCTCAGTTTCCTTTTCTCTATATTGGGGACAATAATAGGACTCCTGGTCGGGCGCAGTGGCTCACACCTGTAATCCCAGCACTTTGGGAGGCTGAAGCAGGTGGATCACTTGAGGACAGGAGTTTGAGACCAGACTGGCCAACATGGTGAAACCCTGTCTGTACTAAAAATGTAAAAATTAGCCGGGCATGGGCTGGGCGCGGTGGCTCACGCCTATAATCCCAGCACTTTGGGAGGCTGAGGCGGGCAGATCACGAGGTCAGGAGATCGAGACCATCCTGGCTAACACGGTGAAACCCCATCTCTGCTAAAAATACAAAAAATCAGCCGGGCATGGTCGCGGGTGCCTGTAGTCCCAGCTACTCGGGAGGCTGAGGCAGGAGAATGGTGTGAACCTGGGAGGTGGAGTTTGCAGTGAGCTGAGATCCTGCCACTGCACTCCAGCCTGGGCGACAGAGTGAGACTCTGTCTCAAAAAAAAAAAAAAAAAAAAAAAAAAAATTAGCTGGGCGTGGTGATGCGCGCGTGTAATCTCAACTACCCAGGAGGCTAAGGCAGGAGAATCGCTTGAACCCAGGAGGCAGAGGTCACAGTGAGCTGAGATAGCGCCACTGCACTCCAGCCTGGGGTGACAGAGCCAGACTGTCTTAAAAAAAAAAAAAAAAAGCTGGGCGCGGTGGCTCACGCTTGTAATCCCAGCACTTTGGGAGGCGGAGGCGGGCGGATCACAAGGTCAGGAGATCCAGACCACGGTGAAACCCGGTCTCTACTAAAAATACAAAAAATAAGCCGGGCGCAGTGGCGGGCGCCTGTAGTCCCAGCTACTCGCGAGGCTGGGGCAGGAGAATGGCGGGAACCCAGGAGGCGGAGCTTGCAGTGAGCCAGGATCGCGCCACTGCACTCCAGCCTGGGCGACAGAGCAAGACTCCGTCTCAAAAAAAAAAAAAAAAAAAAAAAAAAAAAAAAAAGGACTCCTGTGCAAAGTTTTGTTTTGTTTTGTTTTTGACATGGAATCTCACTCAGTCATCCAGGCTGGAGTGCAGTGGCACGATCTCGGCTCACTGCAACCTCCGCCTCCCAGGCTCAATCGATTCTTCTTCTGCCTCAGCCTCCCAAGTAGTTGGGATTACAGGCGCCCAGCACCGCGCCCGGCTAATTTTTGTATGACTCCTGTGAAAAGTCAAATGAGTTGAGTCAGAGCATAGTGGCTCATGCCTGTAATCCCAGCACTTTGGGAGGCTGAGGTGGGCGGATCACTTGAGGTCAGGAGTTCAAGACTGGCCTGGCTAACATGGTGAAACCTCATCTCTACGAAAAATATGAAAATTCACTTTGGGAGGCTGAGGCGGGAGGATCACGAGGTCAGGAGGTTGAGACCATCCTGGAGAACACGGTGAAACCCCGTCTCTACTAAAAATACAAAAAAATTAGCCGGGTGTGGTGGCAGGTGCCTATAGTCCCAGGTACTCGGGAGGCTGAGGCAGGAGAATGGCATGAACCCGGGAGGCGGAGCTTGCAGTGAGCCGAGATCGTGCCACTGCACTCCAGCCTGGGCGACAGCACGAGACTCCATCTCAAAAAAAAAAAAAAAAAAAAAAAAAAAAACAATATCTGGCAGAGAATACAGGCTGTGTAAGTGTCTGCTATTATTATCATTCGTGGACCACAGAGGTCAGTCGATAGAGCACTGCCTTATTACCCAGGGACTGAGGCCCTTGTCAGCTGTAACACACCTGGTTCTAGGTGTCTGGAAAATATGAGGGGCCACCCCTCTCTGCTGCTGCTATACATGGCATTAACCACCTGCCTGGACACTTCACCCAGTGGGGAGACAGACCAAGGTGAGTGTTTGGGGGAAATGGTGTCCAGATACTTGGCATTGGCCTCCCCCTGACTCAGGAATGTCTCTAGTCCCTCCTCTTCCAGGACCCAGCCCCTTCCTCCTTCAGACCCAAGAGTCTGAATTCCCAGCTCCTGCTCCTTCCTCCGGGACCCCACTGCTTTCCATCCCCCTATGACTTCAGCCCTAGGGACCCTCCATTTTTCTGTCCCTCATGTCTTTGGGTCCAGAAGTGTTCCTGGCTCCGCCAGAGGCCCAGAGCTTCCTGAGTAGCCATACCCGGATTCCAAGAGCCAACCACTGGGACCTGGAGCTGTTCACACCAGGGAACCTGGAACGGGAGTGTCATGAAGAGAAGTGTTCCTGGGAAGAGGCCAGGGAATATTTTGAGGACAACACTCTCACGGTGAGGTCCTCAAGACCCTGGAGTTTCGGGCCCTCTCTCTTCTCTATACCTGTGGGGAGGTTGCAGGGGGAGGGCCTCTGTCTTCTCTATACCTGTGGGGAGGCTGCAGGGGGAGGTTCTGGCCTTCAGCTCCCTCCTCCCTGGTGTCTCAGAAGTCAGGATGGGCTAGTTTGGGGGTGTGAACCTACCAGCTGAATTGCTGCTTTTCCCCCTTCTTTTCTACTCCTCCCCCCTCAAGGAGCGCTTTTGGGAGAACTACATCTACAATGGCAAAGGAGGTGAGTGAGGGGCTGAAGCCGTCTTGTTCTGTGCAGCTAAGGGAGTCCCTTCCCAGGGAGGCCAAACCAACATCCTCCACCCCAAATTAGGTACAAGAATCGTCTGCCCCCCAATTCTGTGCTCTCTGAAGCTGGCTGCTAAAGGAGTTCCCCCGCTTAAGACCCCAGCTTGCCTGAGGAGTCCCCCCACACCTTATGATTATTTTATTTTTAATTATTTGTTTTTGAGACAGGGTCTCGCCGTGTCACCCAGGCTGGAGGGCTGTGGTACAATCTTGGCCCACTGCAACCTCAACCTCCCAGGCTCAAGTGATCTTCCCACCTCAGCCTCCTGAGTAATAGGGACTCCAGGCCCATACTACCATGATAATTTTTGTAGTTTTTGTACAGACCGGGTCTCACCATGTTGCCCAGGCTGGTCTTGAATGCCTGGCCTCAGGCAATCCTCCTGCTTCAGTGTCCCAGACTGTTGAGACTATAGGTGCCAGGCCCCACCACATCTTATTGGATGCAGGTCCTGGGTCCCTAGGAAGGGAAGTGTCAGTGGAGGGAAAGGCTAGAGCTGTAGGGCCTGTCAGGCCTTAAGCTGAGAGGGGAAGGCCCACCTGAACCCTTCGCTGGTGTCCAGAGTAAATGGAAACACCAACCCCTCCAGCAGCCTGATTGCGGGAGACGCTGCCCTCTAGCAACGTGACCAAGGGAGGAAGCCTGCCCATCCTCACCTGCCCATTTTGCCCCCAACAACCCCTCCTCTGAGTTCTGAGGCCCCATCTTGTTGCCAGCCTTGTTGCTAAGGGGGGCTGCTCCTTAGCAACAGGGCCTGGCCAGGCCAGACCAGATGAAGAAGCCTGAAGCAGTACCTGGCTGATTTCCCCCCCCACACAGCCCCATCCCAGCAGCTGCCTGGTTGCTAAGGAGGCCTTCTCCCTAGCAACCACACCTAGCCAGGCTCCAGGACCCAAGGCCTTCTGCCCACTGGAGGACCACCCTCCGGGCCCCCGATGCCCCACCCACTTGTGGCCCGGTTGCTAGGGGTAGATGCACCTTAGCAACAGGCCCTAGGTCTGGGCTGGAGTCTCACACTGGAGCCTGGTTGCTAGGGGAGGTAATTTCCCTACAGGCCTAGCGAGGCATAGTGGCTCCTTGAATCCACCTGAAGGTGCCCACATCAGGAGGACCTGCCTTCTGAAGCTGCACTTGCGCTTTTTGCTAAAGGGGCTCAAAAGTCTGGGGGTTTACTGCGGTCAGATGTGGTGGCTCATGCCTGTAATCTCAGCACTTTGGGAGGCCAAGGCGAGCAGATCACCTGAAGTCAGCAGTTCAAGATCAGCCTGGCCAGCGTGGTGAAACCCCATCTCTACTAAAAATACAAAAATTAGCCGGGCGTGGTGATGTGTGCCTGTAATCCCAGCTACTCAAGAGGCTGAGGCACAAGAATCACTGCAGCTGGGAGGCAGAGGTTGCAGTGAGCAGAGATTGCACCATTGCACTCCAGCCTGGGAGATGTCTCAAAAACAAACATACAGCAGGGTGCAGTGGCTCACGCCTGTAATCCAAGCACTTTGGGAAGCTGAGGCGAGCAGATCACCTGAGGTCAGGAGTTCGAGACCAGCCTGGTCAACATGGTGAACCCTGGTCTCTACTAAAGATACAAAAATTAGCTGGGCGTGGTGGCGCACACCTGTAATCCCAGCTAGTTGGGAGGCTGAGGCCGGAGAATCGTTCAAACCCAGGAGGTGGAGGTTGCAGTGAGCCAAGATCACACTATTGCACTCCAACCTGGGCAACAAGAGGGAAACTCCATCTCAAAAACAAACAAAAAATTTGGGGTTTACCTCTGGAGGAAAGCCTACCTATCTAGTGCCCATGGAAGTTTCCCCAGCAGCAAGAGCTAGCAAGGCCTCCCCAAGCCCAACGACTCCCTATACTCCCTTGTCCTTAGACTCGAGGCCTTGGATTGCAAACAGGGCTGCACCTTAGTAACATGTCAAACATGTATTCTAGATTCTTAGTTACATTGGTGGGGAGAAGGGGGTCCCTAAATTCCTCCATTTGTTTTTTGTTTTTTTGAAACGGGGTCGGGCAGGGCATGATGGCTCACGCCTGTAATCCCAGCATTTTGGGAGGCTGAGGCTGGTGGATCATGAGGTCAGGAGTTTAAAACCAGCCTGACCAATATGGTGAAACCCCATCTCTACTAAAAATACAAAAATTAGCCAGGCATGGTGGCGCACGCCTGTAATCCCAGCTATTTGGGAGCCTAAGGCACCAGAATCGCTTGAACCTGGGAAGCGGAGGTTGCAGTGAGCCGAGATCACTCCAGCCTGGGCAACAGAGTAAGACTCCATCTCCAAAAAAAAAAAAAAAAAGAAATGGGGTTGCTCTGTTGCCCAGGCTGGAGAGCAGTGGCACAATCGCGACTCACTGCAGCCTCGACCTCCTATGCTCAAGTGATCCTCCCACCTAAGCCTCCTGAGTAGCTGGGATTACAGGCATGCACTACCAATGCTCAGATAATTAAAAAATTTTTTTATGTAAAGACGGGGTCTCACTGTGTTGTCTACGCTGCTCTCTACCTCCTAGGCTCCAGTCATCTTCCTGCCTTGGCCTCCAAAGTTCTGGGATTACAGGTGTGAGCCACCGAGCCTGTCCATTTTCTTTTTTCTTTTAGAGACAGGGTCCAGTCACCCAGGCTGGAGTATACTGGAGTGATCCTGGCTCGCTGTAGCCTCGACCTCCTGGGGTCAGGTGACCCTTCTTCCTCAGCCTCCCAGGTAGCTGGGACTACAGGTACCTGTAGCACCACACCCAGCTATTAAAAACATTTTTTCCGGCCGGGCAAGGTGACTCACGCCTGTAATCCCAGCACTTTGGGAGGCCGAGGCGGGCGGATCACAAGGTCAAGAGATCAAGACCATCCTGGCCAACATGGTGAAACCCTGTCTCTACTAAAAATACAAAAATTAGCTGGATGTGGTGGCGGGCTCCTGTAGTCCCAGCTACTTGGGAGGCTGAGGCAGGAGAATCGCTTGAACCTGGGAGGCGGAGGTTGCAGTGAGCTGGGATCATGCCACTGCACTCCAGCCTGGTGACAGCACAACTCCGTCTCAAAACAAAACAAAAAACCAACATTTTTTCCCCAGGCTCAGTGGTGGCTCATGCCTGTAATCTCAGAACTTTGGGAGGTAGAGATTGGTGGATTGCTTGAGGAATTTGAGACCAACCTGGGCAAAAAATACAAAAAATTACAAAACACAAAATTAGCCAGGCATGGTGACGCACACCTGTGGTCCCAGCTACTCAGGAGGCAGAGGTAGGAGGATCACCTGAGCCCTGGACGTCAAGTGGCAGTGAGCTGCGATTGCTCCACTGCACTCCATGCAGAGTCAGACCCTGTCTCAAAAAAAAAAAAAATTGTTTTTTTTTTTTTTGTAGAGCCTCCCTATGTTGCCCAGGCTGGGCTCAAGTAATCTTCCTGCCTTAGCCTCCCAAAGTTCTGAGATTACAGGTATGAGCCACTGTGCCTGGCTACCATGAATAATTTTAAAAGCATATCCCAAGTAGTGCATGTGACTTTTTTTTTTTTTTTTTTTGAGGGGGACAGAGTCTCTCTCTGTCATCCTGGCTAGAGGGCAGTGGCACAATCTCCCCGGCTCAAGCAATCCTCCTGCCTCATCCTTCTGAGTAGCTGGGACTACAGGCAAGCACCACCAAGCCTGGTTAATTTTTTTTTTTTTTTTTTGAGACGGAGTTTTGTTCTTGTTGCCCAGGCTGGAGTGCCATGGCGCAATCTGGGCTCACCGCAACCTCCACCTCATGGGTTCAAGCGATTCTCCTGCCTTAGCCTCCCAAGTAGCTGGAATTATAGGCATGCGCCACCATGCCTGGCTAATTTTGTATTTTTAGTAGAGACAGGGTTTCTCCATGTTGGTCAGGCTGGTCTCGAACTCCTGACCTCAGGTGATCCAGCCACCTTGGCCTCCCAAAGTGCTGGGATTACAGGTGTGAGCCACTGCGCCTGGCTAATTTTGTATTTTTTGTAGAGATGGGATTTCACCATGTTGGCCAGGCTGGTCTCAAACTCCTGACCTTGTGTGATCTCCATGCCTCAGCCTCCCAAAGTTCTGGGATTATAGGCATGAGCCACCACACCTGGCCAGGACATAGTTTTGTTTTTTTGGTGGTGGTGGTGGTTTTTTTATTTTTTGAGAGGAAGTCTTGCTCTTGTTGCCTCGGCTGGAGAGCAATGGCTCGATCTCAGCTCACTAAAACCTCCGCCTCCTGGGTTCAAGCGATTCTCCTGTGTCAGCCTCCCAAGTAGCTGGGATTACAGGCACATACCACCACGCCTGGCTAATTTGTTGTATTTTTAGTGGAGACAGTGTTTCACCATATTGGCCAGGCTGGTCTTGAGCTCCTGGCCTCAAGTGATCTACCTGCCTTGGCCTCCCTAGTGCTGGGATTACAGGCGTGAGCCACTGTATCCAGCCTGTAATCAGTCACGTATCCAGCCTGATCTCATTAAGTTTTCACAGTGGGGTAGGGGTTATGGTTCCCATTTTACAGAACCCACAGTGGAGGGTCAGAGAAAGGAATGAGGTGAATTGCCTGAGGTCACAGGGCTAGGAAGGGACCCCAGCTCTGCCTGCTTCAGGGTCTGTTCTCTTCCCTCAGTGGGAAGGAATTTTGATTAGGGTGGGTGGCCGTCCCCGAAACAGTGGCTCCCCTTCCCTGCTTCCCTGCAGGGCGTGGACGAGTGGATGTGGCAGGCCTGGCTGTGGGACTGACGTGTGGTGTCCTTCTCATTGTCCTGGCTGGCCTGGGAGCCTTTTGGTATCTGCACTGGCGACGCCGCCGAGGCCAGCAGCCCTGTCCCCAAGAGTAAGGGGGATTCAGTGAGGAGGCGGTGGTGGTGGAGAGCAAGGGGAGGGAGGAAATGTTGACCTAAAGGGATGTGCTAAGGATTGGGGGCAGATGGGCACTGATGAAAGACCTGAGGACACTGTCATTTGGAGAGTGAATCTGTGAGCTGGCTTGTGTCTGGTTTTGGTGTCTGTTGCTCTGTCTGTCTAGATCCTCAGTACCTGGCCCACAGTAGGAGCTCTGACCACTTTTGCTGCCGGCCTGTCTTTGTGGTACTGGGATTACCACTCTGGATATTGTATCTGGTGAGGCTGCGACGGTGCAGCCTGTGGTGTTTGGGTGTCTGTGGTATGTCAGTTTCAGTGGTGACAGGTGCAGCACCTGAGTGGGTGTGGGAAATTGGTGAGGAGTGCATCTATGTTGTGTTCCTGTCTATATGGATGGGCTGAGTTCTGTCTGTTTGGTGTGTGTTGGCCTGCCTCTCTGCAGGGCTTTTTTTTTTTTTTTGAGACGGAGTTTCACTCTCGTTGCCCAGGCTAGAGTGCATAGTGTGATCTTGGCTCACTGCAACCTCTGCCTCCTGGGTTCAAGTGATTCTCCTCCCTCAGCTTCCCGAGTAGCTGGGATTATAGGTGCACGCCACCATGTCCTGCTAATTTTGTATTTTTAGTAGAGACGGGGTTTCTCCATGTTGGTCAGGCTGGTCTTGAACTCCTGACCTCAGGTGATCTGCCTGCCTCTGCCTCCCAAAGTGCTGGGATTACAGGTGTGAGCCACCACGCCTGGCCCTTTTTTTTTTTTTTTTTTAAGAGACAAAGTCTTACTGTGTTGCCCAGGCTGGAGTGCAGTGGCCCGTTCACAGCTCACTGCAGCCTCAATTTCCTGGGCTCAAGAAATCCTCCCACCTCAGCCTCCTGAGGATCTAGAACTATAGGTGTGTGCCGTGCATCCAGCAGGGCTGTCTTTTTCTCTATTGCTCTGCCTGTATCTGGTGCACATGGGTGTGTCTGAATAAGAGTGTGTCTCTGTGGTTGCTGATTTCTGGGTCTGCCTGTGTGTAGCTGACTGTCATTTGAGGCACTTTTCTGTGTGTAAGGCTAGGCTGAAGGTGACCCTCCTTTTCTGAGGTCCACCTCCCTTCCAGCTCTGTCCCAGTGTCACCCTGAATCTCCATCTCCTAGATCCCCTCTCTTCCGCCTTAGTCTAGGTATCCTGTAAGTTGCCTCTGCTCACTGTACCTTTGCTGTCCCCAGGGCCGGGCTTATCAGCCCTCTGAGTCCTTTGAGCCCTCTGGGCCCACCGACGCCCCTGCCTCCACCCCCACCCCAACCCCCAGGCCTCCCCACCTATGAGCAGGCGCTGGCAGCCTCTGGGGTACACGACGCACCTCCACCCCCCTACACCAGGTATGGGGCGTGGCTTCTGCCCGGGGGCGGGGCGCAGAGGGGTGGGCACGTTGGAGGAGGAACCTGGGCTCAGGGGCGGGACTTGGTATTTGGGCCTTATTACCTAGGGCGGGGATTGGAGTGCGGGGGCGGGGCCCCATGCAATGGTCTAGGGGCGTGGCCCAGCGTTGTATGTGCGGAGGCGTATAAGAGGGTGGGGCCTGTGCCCAGAGGGTCCGGGATTGGCTGAGACTCCAAGGGCGGTCGGAGTGGTCTTGGCTGAGGGGAAAAAAACACAGGAGCTTTGACTCCCTAGTGTGCCTCTTCTCTTGCAGCCTCAGGAGGCCTCACTGAAGAGCTGCTTTCGAGACCCGGCTCTCCGAACCGTGCCCCTGATTCACACCGGATTCCGGAAGCCCCTAGGCCTCGTAGACGCCGAAGCTGGACTTGGGGGGGCGGGGATGGTGGGAGTAGGGGTCGCCCGGCCCGAGGCCTGCCCTGGCACACGCGTTTCCGCCGCGTATGGATATACACATGTTCTCGGCAACGTGTTCCCGTGTCCTGGCCCCTCACGGGCCCCCACACTCTCCTGACCGTGAGGGCACTGGTCAGTTCCGCCCCCGTGGTAGGCAGACGCGCGGGGAAATTCGGACCCAGGAGCCCAGCCCCGGCTGTGCCGTCTTGTGTATGGGCAGATATGACCTGACAGTCCCCTCCAGTGCCACAGGGTACGCACACGCACAGCCCCGCCTGTGCACACGCGTGTCTTCGTGCACTCCCTGTGCGGTACAGAGGCACTTCGTAACCCAGGGAAAGGGCGGGGGGCATATTTGCAAGCGTGCTCGGTGCGGGCAGGCTCGCATTGCACCCAGGGAGCTGGAGTTGAGCTCTTCCCCTAAATAAAAACCCTTCGGAAAGGAGACCAAAAAAAGCAGAAATAATGCAAATAATAATAATAATAATAATAATAATGAACCGCGATCCCGGGCGCATCGGAACTGGTTTTCTGTGCAAACGCGCCCTACACCCCCAGGCCCTGCTTGCGCTCAGTCTCTCTCACTCTCCCTTTTTTTTTTTTTTTTTTTTTGCATTTGCACGGGATTGTGGGAGGAAGCGGAGCGCAGCCAGACACCCCGCCGCCCGCCCCCCCTTCCCCTCCCCCCTCCCCCAGCCGCCTTGTGCAAAGATGGCTGCACCGTGAGCGCAGAGGAGGAGGAGGCGGCGGCGGCGGCGGCGAGAGAGCGAGCACCCAGCGCCTGCACCCACCCCGGGGCCGCCCGGGACGCCCCCTCCCGAGCGCGCGCCCCCCTTTTTCTCTCGCAAGCGCCGGGGCAAAGGCGGAGACAGCGGGGTCCCTCCACCCCCCCTTCCCTCCTCTAGGGGGAACCCCCCTTCCCCCTTCCTTGGCTCAGCGACTGCACCCCCTCCCTTGCCCGCCCCTCCGCCCCTGCCCCCTCCCTCCCCCGCCCGGGGCCTTCCCGGGCCTTCGGCGGCTGCAAAGAAAAAAAGAGAGAGAGAAAAGGGGGGGAAAAAAAGCAGCAGCGGAGGGAGCGGCGGCGGAGGAGAGCGCGCGCGCCCCCTCCCTCCCTCCCTCCCTCCCCCTCCCCCCAATTTCCACCGCGGCCAATTCATGGACAGGAACTACCCCAGCGCCGGCTTCGGGGACCCGCTCGGCGCCGGGGCGGGATGGAGTTACGAGAGGTCAGCGAAAGCTAGGTAAGGAGCTGAGGGTGGCCTGGAGAAAGGGGCCAAGGGGTGGGAGCCCAGGCGGGCCGGGCCGGGCCCGCCCGGCGACGCGTGCATCGCAAACTCCCCTCCGGCTTGCAAGGGAGCGGCCTTCCTCGGTTTGTAACAACGCCGCCGCCCCAGTTTGCAAATTGCAAACTCCGCCAAAGCCAGCTCCGGCATGCAAAGGGAGAATTGCAGCGGGAAAATGGGGGTGCAAAACAATTTCGGACGGGAAGGCCTTGGGAAGGTGGGAGGGACTGGCGAAGCAAGGCCTGGACTTCCCCCCATCCTTGGATTCCCGGCTTGGTGACCCCTCCCCCCCGCGCCCCAGGCGCTGCTCTTGCAAAGGTGGGAAGAAGAGAAGAATTAGAACGCAGATCTGGGGGGCGCGAACCCCCCTCAGGTCCTATTGTTCCGGGACTGTGCGAGGCCGCGCCACTAGGCGCCCCCCCAAGAATTCCGCGCGCAGAGTGGGCATGGGGCCCCGCCCCCTTCCTAAGCTGCGGTTCTGTGTGTGTAAGGGGGGGGGTCTAGCATCTGGGACACGCCCCCTTTAATGCCCCCACCCCCAAAGGCAGAGAATCCTAGTTAATGGCAAGGAGTGGAGCGTTTGCCCTCCTGAGTCTGGCCACGGACTGGGGCCGTTGCATGGGAAGAGTCGGATGTTTCCCGGGTGTGTGTTTGTGTGTCTGAGCGTGGGCCCTCTGCGTGCGTGGCTGGCAGCGTGTTCACCTGTGAATCTGCCCCTTTCCTGCTGCTTCCTCACACTTCACCTACCCCCGAGCACCTCCCCCCCAACACACCTGAGTTTCCCAGCAGGGCATAACCCCAATTGTGTCAGGATTTTCGGTGTGGGATTCCTCCGTCTATATCTTTTCTTCCCCACGGGTGAGTTGGATACCCATTTGCACACACACCTGGCATTGCACGGGCCCATGCATTTGAACCTCAACCCCCGGGGATGGACGGTGTTCTTGTCCACACTTGTACCTGGTACTTTCCCCGGGTCTTATTCCCTCTTCTCTCCACCCCCCCCAACCGTTGCCGCTTGGGAACCGATCTGCCTCCTGCTCCCAACTTGTTTTGCACCACCCCATGAAGTTCAGGGCCTCTGTGTTCCCGTGTGTCTACGGAAGAGGAGTCGTCCATGTGGACCTTTGGCGTTGGCCCCATGGCCAGTGTTGCCGGAACGGGGCCTGGGGTGGGGGGTTGGTGGGGTCGACGGGGGAAGGCTCTCATTTGCAACTCAAGACGCTTCCTGTGCCTTGGACCCTCTTCTGTGTGTTAGTTTCGTCTCTGAGCATGCCTGTTTGTAAACGTGAGACTATCCGGGCTCTCTTTATTCGGGCTCTGGAGTGGGGGCCATTTCTGTGGCTCTTTAGTTGGGTACCCCGATTCCCTTGTCTTCTCCCCTTTAAAGGCCTATGGTTCCTTAGCTTAACACCCCCTACCCCAATCAGCTGGAAGGGTCCCCCCAACTCCCTGGGGGGTTTCCTGAGCTCCTTTCTCAGAAGGCAGCTTGGGAGAACCCCCTGACGTCTCTCCTTTTCCCCCAGCTTGGTTTATGGCAGCTCCAGGACCTCGCACCCCGAGACGGACATCTTACACCGCCAGGCCTACGCGGCCCCCCACCCACTGCAAAGCTATGCCACCAACCACCACCCGGCAGGTACGGCCCCCATCCCGCCCCGCTTTGGGCTGGCCCTCCCCCGAGGCAGCTGATTGGCTGCTGAAAGTTCCGCCCCTCCTAATTGGCCGTGGCCCGTGCCGTGGCCCGCCCCTTGCCGTGTCTCCTCTGATTGGTTGCCTTTGAGGCTGCTGGTCCTTGCTTCATTTCTCGCCGGATTCGTCCGCCCCTGCCTCGCCCCGCCCCTTTCGCTCCAATTGGACCTGTCCCATCAGCCCCCAAATCCCACCTTCTCTTCCAGGCTTTTCCGCCTCTCTCCAGCCCACCCCAATTCTTTCCCTCTGGGTTTGCCCTATTCTTTTGGCTCCTTGGAACTCTGAATTCTGTCTTCCTGATTCTCTTTCTTCCTGACTGGCCCCAATTATCTGGCCCGCCCTCTTTTATCTTATTTTGCCCCATTGCCTTATTCCACCCCCTGCCTTTGCCTCCAAGGTTTCTGATTGGTTCCCCCTTCCTAGGGGTACTGGCAATGACATGATGCTGTCTAGTTTGACCTTTGACCTTCCTGATTGGCTCCTTCCCTTTTTCCCTCCCCATCTTTTTTTCTGAACCCTCCCATGGAGCTCAGTCCCTTTTGACTCGTTCTCTGGTCTTTCTGAGACTTCATTGTACCATCCTTTCCACTTCCTTGCTGGAAATACCCACATTTGGTCTCCCTCCTGGCCTTCCTGAGGACTCTGTTCTTTTGCCACTGGCTCTTTCGCTTCTAGATTTTTCCACACTTTTGTCTACCATTTCCTATCTGGGCCCCTGTCCTTATGACTGGATTGCCCCTTCTCTTGCTTTACTGTCTCACCTTTCCCCCTTCCCTCCCCTCATTCCTGTCTCATGAGCTTGCTTCTGTCCATCTTGTCTTCGAATTTGCCCTTTTCTCTCCCATCCCCTCCTTTTCCTGATCCAACTTGCTTTTGACCTCTTCCCTTTCTCTCTTGACCCTATCCTACCCATCCCTACCTGGCTGACTATACCCCCTGTCCCCGGGCAGGTCTTTCTGGACTCTTCGACACTGGCCTCCACCACGCGGGCTCAGCAGGGCCCGACGCCTCCGTCATGAACCTCATCTCAGCCCTGGAATCCCGGGGCCCCCAGCCTGGCCCCTCCGCCTCCTCTCTCCTCTCCCAGTTCCGCAGTCCTTCCTGGCAAACCGGTAAGCCTAGCGCCGGCCCTGCAGGGCCAGGGTGGGGCTGGCTTGCTGTCCGCTCTGACCCGCGGTCTTCCTCATCTCCAGCCATGCACACGCCAGGCCCCACGGAGCTCTTCATCTCGGGCGCCCTGCCGGGTTCCAGCACCTTTCCGTCCTCCTCTGCCCTGTCGGCTTACCAACACCCGGCTTCCTTCGGCAGCCGCCCCTTCCCAGTGCCCTCGTCCCTCAGCCTCCAGGACCCCCCATTCAGCCCTCCAGCTAATGGGCTCCTGTCTCCTCATGACGTGCTGCACCTGAAGCCCTCACAGGCACCCACGGTGCCCTCTTCACTGGGCTTTGAGCGCTTGGCAGGAGGCGGTGTCTTGGGGCCAGCTGGTCTCGGTCCAGCCCAGACCCCCCCTTACCGCCCTGGCCCCCCAGACCCACCACCACCACCTCGCCACCTCCCAACTCAGTTCAACCTGCTGGCTTCCTCTTCTGCTGCCGCCGCCGCTGCTGAGCAGTCCTCCCCACAGCTCTATAACTTCTCGGGTGCTGCCCCGGGCCCACCGCCGCCTGAGCGGGCCCTGCCCCGCCAGGACACAGTCATCAAGCACTACCAGCGGCCAGCCAGTGCCCAGCCCCCACCACCCCCGCCACCAGCCCATGCCCTCCAGCACTATCTGAGCTGTGGAGGCAGCTACCCCTCCATGGGCCACCGGGCCAACCTGGCCTGCAGCCCCCTGGGTGGTGGGGAGCCCTCCCCGGGTGCTGGGGAGCCTAGCAAGGCTGGTCCCAGCGGAGCCACGGCGGGGGCATCTGGCCGGGCCACAGGCCCTGAGGCAGCAGGGGGCGGTGGGGCCGGAGGTGGTGGCGGAGGTTACCGCCCCATCATTCAGTCGCCTGGGTATAAGACGGGCAAAGGTGGTTATGGAGCAGCTGCCGGGGGTGCTACCAGGCCCCCCCCACCCCGTTCGACCGCTACCCCCAAATGCCAGAGCCTGGGTGGACCGGCAGCCGCCTATGCCACTGGGAAGGCCTCTGGGGCTGGAGGGGCAGGGGGCCAGGCTTATTCCCCTGGTCAGCCGCAAGGGCTTCTGGGACCCCAGGCCTATGGGCAAGGGTTTGGAGCGGGGCAGGCACAGGACTTGAGCAAAGGCCCCAGCTACTCAGGGGGCCCTCCACAGCCCCCCAGCGGCCCTCCTCCTCCTGGCCTGGCCACATGTCAGAGCTACTCCCCGGACCAGCTGCAGGGGCAGCTGTATGGGGTGCAGGGCGAGCCATACCCAGGGCCAGCCGCCCACTCCCAGGGGCTGCCCACAGCCAGCCCCTCGCTCAGCTACAGTACTGGCCATTCCCCAGCGCTCTCAGGCCATGGGGGTGGCTGGGGACCTAGCTCCTTGGGAGGTGGTGGTGAGGCCAGCCCATCTCACATCATTCGTCCGCTCCAG